GGGGAGACAACTGGTGCTGGGAAGGGAAGCGTCAATGATTCGTCGCTGGAAGCTCGAGCACAAGATAGCCCGTGTGATCCCTCAGAGCACCCTGTCCTTGTGAGGTTGGCAGCGGCATGAGCTTGATGAATGGGCGAGGTATCCGTACCGGGGCGGCACATTTTGAATGTCAGATGTCCGTGACCAGGGGACGTCGTTGGGTGATTCGCAAGGATGGTGGCAGGTCTACGTATCCGGATGGATCTCTTGTCACTCTCCAAGGTATCCGGTGTCGCCCTTTTTTCAAATGAGATTCGAAGAGGGGATCAGCGAGACGGCCAATGCTTCGAAGCTGCCCGCGGCTGCTCAGAGCTTCCCAGAGCTACTCGGAGCTCTCTAGAGCTATTGCCTTGGTAAAGTTGAAGCACGCTGATATTCCAAATGGTCGCCATGGGCATGTGTATCCGTACAGATACGGGACCTGCTGCTGTCTGAGCTGGATGTTGACAGGTGATGATGGACATCTCTCTGCCAAGCGATGAAACAAAGGGTAATAGGTTGGGAAGCGAATCGCAGGCAATGGGAAAGTGTGTTGATGGGATAGAGGGCCCGGACCTAGGTCCGAACCCGACTGGACTGACGTCGGGATAAGTTTTTTTTTTTTTTTTTTGCCGGCTTCACATATTCCCAGCCTCCCAGGCACCAAGGCTTCATTCAACCCGTCACCTCTCGGCCCAATTATGGACCACGCCGATGCGTCGCCGTCCCAAACTCTCTTTCGGAGGAAGGCTAGTATTGGATTGGATATCTCGAGGGAAGGAATACGCTCTGGTCATGTCATGTCAAGGAAGGAACGTTTCCTTCCGCTTCCTCTACGATTTGAAGTGGCCACAGACAGGAAGACGAGCGGGAAAGAGCGTCCTAGACAGGTGGACGGAGGAAGGGGAGAATTGTGACAATTGTGATATGGAGAGTACAGGGAGTCAGTCATACCTTGAACATCCTCTGGGCAGAAGACGGGAACCCGTACGGAGTAGACAGCGCTGGAGTTCCCTACAGTGGCCACGTGCTGTAGCCCACCTACTTGAAGCCTTGTAAGGTCGAGTATCCATCCTCCCAGATGATTCGAGGTGGACACCTTGGAGCCTTCAATTCCATGAGACACAACTTGACCTCGGTTGCTTGCCATAAAGTATCGGGGCCTTTCAAATTGGCAACCGCCAGCTTGAAGGTATTCGTACGGAGTACATGCATACAGAGTAGTCGAGGCTCGCCAACTGGAACCCGAGAGCGATATTTTCATGGGCAATGCAATGTAGATGATCGTTATCGTCTCATGCAGCACTAAACGACTAAAGTAGCGTGAGTAGCTCACTTATTGATGAACTCCACTCACGACCCAGTTCTCTCACAAAAAGGGAACTGAACGAGAGTGCCCGAAACTGAAAATGAAGGGTGAGGTGACCTTCATCGACGGGAGGAAGCTGCCCCGCCTGTCCATCGAACCCACGCCTCCAAGTGCAAGTACTTCGTACGTAAGGTACTCCGTGACTCCGTACGGATACAGGTGAGTGACCCCTTCCCTGTTGCCTTATGGCCTTGGGCGGGAATTTCACAAAGATGGAAAGATGGGAAATCGGATAAGATGGGGCCCGTTCTCTTAGGTAATCCAGATCCATCCGAGCATTTGCCAGATACGCACATACGCACCCAGCACCTCCCTCACCCACCAAACCGACCAAACGTCGTGCACTCAGATCCCCGTCGTGGGAGCTTCCTCTCCACCTCTCAGGGTATCCACTTTCCTTGTTTTGTTTTTTTCCCACCTCATCTTCCTCTCTGTCTGTCTGTGTGTCTCTCTGTCTCTCTTTCCGCCTGGTGCGGCATACCCCTGGCCAACTACCAGTATTCGTAGTGTACTTTCGACCCTTTAACTCTCTTCCGTCATCCCCTTTGGCCGACACCACAGTGACCACACCCCTTCAGCTTCTCCAAGTTCCAACAGCTGTCCCTGTCCATCGGCCGTCATGGCTCGCCCTGTTGCACGTCTGTCACATCATTTACCTTTTTCGGTATTCGTCGCCCTTGGTTCCTGTCCTTGTCAGGGTCCCGGAGGAACTGGGCAGAAAATCCATCCGACCGAACCTTGACACCAAATTGTACCTCTGTCCGAGTAGCCGCGAACCCATGTTGGTCACCGATGTTGGTATCGGGTCCCAGGCACACCGTCCTCACGGTCCTCTGCAATACCGGTACCCTTCAGGCCATCCATTCATCCATCCATCCACCCACCAAGACACCATCGACAGCTCATATCCACCACCCCCTGTACGTCATATCATGCCCATGTCTCTACTACTAACGCGGCAACGCCTCCCTCCCACCCAAGCTTGGATGACTGGCGGTCGTTGACCGAGTCTCTTTCTTAGATTCGTACGGATACTCCCTCCTGCTGCAATACCCCCGGCCCACCCCATCATCTCGCGCAGTCCAACTTGGCCTGTCAGATTTTCACTCCGAAAATCTGGTTGAAAGAATTCGCCTTGTGATAGTTCACATTGACCAGCGGCAAGTCGCTCTACAATTGGTCACACTGCACATTTCTATTGCTGACCAGCTGCATTCACTATGCAACTCTCAACACCCTGGTCTCCATCTGGCTTAACCGCTCAACTTATTGCAGATGTCAGAGTAATCCTAGGCTTTGCCACTCCTGTCGCCCTTGTTCCCGAGTGGTCAGAGACATGGAGGCTACGGATACTCGAACGAATACAAGGCAAGCCCCTTGCTCTTCTCCACGATTCACGGACAGAGAACAGAAAAAGACCAGAATTGGACATGCGAACGACACTCCCTACAGATGCCTAACTCACGATAGCGCCGATCATGGCACCACACCAAAGCCTCCCCGGCAGAATGAGCTTCCTCTTGCTTGGACAAGAGATTCGACCGGCAAATTGGGTGCGAAGTACGGATACGTCGCCTCGAGTTGCGGCCGCGAATTACCTTGGCCTCTTCACCATCAACGTTGTGCTACCATTCACATGGCATCAAGTCAAGCTCTTCGGGGAACGTCAACTGCCTCCCTCTTCGGACCAGCCTGATCCGCGACTGTCATACCCTGGATCACATCGTGGTTAAGCAGCCGTCGGTTATTCCTACCTTGCGGAACACTGCCAAAAAAATCTCAACGCAGCTCGCCGGCACGCGGCCAATATATCGGCCTGCTTGACTCTCCCCGGTCCGACTATGTAGGTGAACTCGCACCGCAAGCCAATGGAGGCCCAGCACCACCACCTACAAGTTACCACACCTCGTCGCGTTCACTTATCTCGCTGCATCTTCACGTCTCGTATTCACCTAGAAAGATGGCGACCTAGCGCCCAGATTGTCCATCTACCGGTACCCGTACCTCCCTCTCGTTCGGCGAGTGTATTCGTGCACCATGCACTCCGTACGGAGAACTCATCGTCGGCTAGATTTTCGCCAATTACCCACCCACTTCGCCATTGTTGCTGGGCTTCTGGGACCAACGTTGTCGATAGAAATCAGGGGTCCTTCCTGAACGGTTCTTAGCGCATCGCCTGGCCCCGTCTCGGTGCATCCGCGACGAACGGGGATACTAACACCATTCAACTCAACCAGTCAACCACAAAATCATCTCTTCACCTCCGGCCCCTCCTTCCAGTCGATTGGGATGCTGAATCGTATCATGTCTTTCCTACCCAATGGCGACGAGTGTTCTTCGAGCATGGAGTCTCCAGCCCTGCCGTTCTGCCGCCCAAGTTTGCATATACCCCGGCAACTCCCTATTTGTATCCGTATCCCACGAGCATTTATTCGCTGTCATTCCAGAGAGCAGCCGACTGCAGCTATGACGACGCATCAAATGCTGGGTCCGCTAGGCTTTTAACAGAGCTCGCACCGGCTTGCTTATATCAATCGCATCTGACAACCAAGATACCACACATTTAGCTCCCTTGATACGTGCGGCTCAAAAGTCAGTGCTTCGTCTAGGTATCAATCGGCACATCGTTTGAGCCTAGCTCAGACCCGTTACCAGAGGCGCTACGGATGTTCTTTCTTCGTACGAATTGACAGCAAGACTGCTGCTCTACCCGCTTGTGCCGCCGACCTTAGACTGACTGGGTGACTTGGTACCGCCGAGCCTCTGCGAACTGACGACTATCCGTACTTCATAGATTTTCGACCCCTGGGACCGTAATTTGCACGCACAGTTTTCGGACAACATGCCTGCAAGCCAGTCGCGTATTGGCGTCGATCATTACCTTTCTGAATTCCAGCTTTCTGATGTTTCGGCTCCACAAACTCAAATGCACCCACGAAAGAGTTGCAGGATCTACAGGTCTCATCTCAAGCCTCTCAAGCCTCTCAAGCCTCTCAAGCCTCTTTTGATTAAGAGCTGTCTATCCGTAAGTGGCCGCATCTGCGGCGTGCCCTTGGGGGCCAGGCTGGCGTCCGGCAATTGCTCACCAAGGTGCCAACTCTCGTACTTGAGCACTGATGCGCAACGAAATACAAGCGTCGCAACCCGAATGACGAAGGCTCGCAGAATTCCTGTCATTTTCAGTTCGTCAGCATCTGCAACCGCCAAAGATCTACGTCTCAGCCAGACTTTAGTATCCGCACCGCGTCTCGACTGGCAACCTGCATTGGCTCGACTATCAAGCTTCAACGGAGTAAAACAATACGTGACTGGCGTGGTACACAACGCTACGACACCTTACCCTCCGTTTTTCGGTACTCAGGCACGTCAGTTTGCCCGCCCAAAGGTTCGCAACGATCACGAGAATGTGATCCATCATACAACACCAACGGCGTCACAGAGAGCCACTTTGAACCGCCAGTCGCGATCGACAACACTACGCCGTGCACAGGCAGATATTGACGCAAGTGGCGAATTGTTTTCTTTTTCCCGCAGACTTTCCAAGAACGCTGAAACCCATCTCTATTCCGCAGGCGAGCAACCTCTGTTGCCCCAACCATGACCGTACAGTTACCACGGCAGTTCCTTCGTAGGTGGCCATCTAGATACCGACATCACTAAACATTCGTCAAGCTGAAGAATAAGCAAGACAATTTTCTCGAGTCTCATGGCCAGTCAATGGGATACCAAACATATCCTTACCTTGCATGGCAACAATTGAACAGACCTTATTTTTGACATGGAGTGTGAATGTCAGGTTTCACATACCCTGGCTGCACTGGGATACGGTTGTCACATTGCTAGCACCATGTTCCCTTTACCTGTCCCAGGCCCCCCATTATCACGTCTGGGCTCTGGAATAATCGCCTGTGCGTAACGGAGTATTAGCCGCACCTGAGTATCTCCGCCAGAGGCTGCGAAGGAGAATTCCGATGTGAACACTGAATAACACATGTGCAGAAGATCATCCGCCTGTAAGCCTCCTTGTGGTACACTCGGATCGATGTTTGCCTGCCCGACGAATACTTTTTCGGCTTACTCGGGGCTCGTTTTTCGCATAAACAAGACAACAGTAGTGACTATCATGACTACGTACCGTAGCAAGTCCGACAGCTTTGTGGAGCTTGTTGATGCCGGGATACGCGAGGTGTCATTCCGAATAGTGGACGAGGTCAGATGCCCGGCCACGCGAGAAAGGACATGGATCCTCCCCGGACCGCAGCTCTTGTCGAACCGGCAAAACCTGTCGTCGGAACCAGCTTCCACCTACTGTTTATTAGCACCCGTCTTTGAAGAGGCTACGGATACTAGGTACGTCTCCGGCTGTTGCTGGTATGGCCTGCTTGTTCCTCCCAACTTTACTGACAACGAAGCCTCCGCACTGGCCTCTCGAGGTGTTTGTGGCTGACTTGGGTCGCGTCGATCGATTCTGACAGGGCACTTTTGGGTGACAACTGACACTGAGCACAATGCAGCAGACCAACGGCGTCGAGGCAACCCTGGACTGAAGAGCAGCCTCACATGATGGCAATGGTTGCCCATCTACAATCGACAACGTACCTTGTTCCGCGAGGCTTTGAGGTAAGCTGCTTCTCTCTATCATTGAAGAAGTGATTAGTGAACAAAACTAACTCCTTAGCAAGGCTTCCGTTGATGTGCCCGGATGTACGACCAAACGGTTCGTTGCCTTACTCTGCGTCGTACTTGACCCCGCTAGAGGTTACACAATCACACTCGATAATGCTTATGCAGAGAGGTACGTACGTATGATAACGCTCGCTCGCCTAGCCAAAGCCTGGCTGTTTGCCGCAACGGGGCTTAGCAGAGTCAGCACAGCTTCCAATTCGCCTACATGGTACAAATCGACGGATCCCACTCCGGGAGGGGTTTACTATGCTGAAATATCTATGGTCGACCCTGGTACCAGATTCACGTACAAATTTTAGTCAATGACCTCACATGTTTTTGTCGAAATATCTCTGGCAACCTCGGTTACTTTTGGCTGCTTCCTAAATGTGCTCGAAGTTTTAGGGCTGTTGACTCCTGAGCCTAGCAGATATACGAATCCTGGGGGCTCGCAAGTTCCAACACCTCGCTGATCTTATGCGAATTAGAAATAGCACAGTCCTTGATGTCACCGGCGGCACAGAGACTACTTTATCAACCGCAGACGAGACTATTCACAATCCGGCGGCATCAAAGATTCGCATCATGCCAGAAATCCAAGGGTACCACTATGCGCAGCTGATGCGATTGCGATCCTAAGAAGAAGCATACAGAAGTTCAAGGTAAGGTACTCCATACGCCATGCAAACTCTGTCGCCAGCAGGCGCACTCGGGATGCCGAGCATGTCTTATCGCTCTTTGGGGATGCCATGCACAGAGGGGCAGCGATAGGACCGCTTTGTCAAGGAGAGTTTCTTGTGTTGGATTTCAATGTGTCAACGACAAGCTGCGGTGTCAGAAAGATCGTCGCTCCATTGAGATTAGCACAATCAGCCCAAGCATGCGGGGCTCTTCTCTCCGATGCGGGACCCGCGGTGCCAAAGTCCAGATTTCATTCCCACTGGCGGCGATGGACTGATGGACCCGTGGTTTCACAGGTGCAGACTGCATCTAGTCGAAGCAGGGCAGGGCTACGAACTCATCCTTCTCTCAGTCTCCTGGCGGCATTGGACCACTCCAGAGCCGGTTCAGGCTCCAGCGGATTGCATCTGCGCCCCCCCCCCCCCCCCCCCCCCCCAATCGATGGGATCCCCTCAATCTAAGAAAGTTCATGATTCTGGACCCGCTACGGCCTTGGACAGCGTGTCCCGCGCTGTGCTAACCATGCCTCCCTGCCCCTGAAGGTCTATGTGCATGGAAGACAGGAAAGTACCTGTACCGTACCCTCCGGTTTCTTCGCCGTGGTATGGATTGGAACGGATATGCATCCACTGAAAAGATTTGAATTGCGGTCCTCGCGCTCGAACCTCGAGTGATGGAAGTAGGTGAGAAGGAAAAGAGAAGGCACTCTCCACTTGTTCTGTTCATGCCGATCCCCTGCCGCTGACTATCACTATCAACCAGGATTGGCTTATTTCCTCTTGGAAATCATCACATCATGGGGATAGCCGCTAGTCGGGTCGGTTGATCTTGACAGAATCGGGTTCAAGGACGATGTCAAATGTCCGTGACGTCTCGGGCCTACTAGTGTACACCACGAGGGTTTCGGCGGGGCCGGCGACCCATTCTGAAATCTGAGCTGAGAGCCTAAGAGAGAAAGAGGGAGAGGGAGGAGAGAGACAACATGGCGATGCTGACGGGTAGAAGTGAGGCATGGGGGTAGTGCCGGGCGGCACATTGGAGTCAATAGTCGATACCATAATTGACAAGTGGACTCCATTCGGACTCGCCTTACCGCCTCCTCTCCAGATCCACCATCTATCAAGTCAACTTTACTGGCTTCCGCTCGTCTCGTGTAGACAGATGAACAGACAAGGTTGGTGCTGGTAACGGAGAGGTGTTTTGATGCTCGCCCTTTTGGATGTTGCCCACTCCTTCCAAGGCTCCCTGGCCTGGCCCGGTGGACGTGGGTTGGCGAGGTAGGTGCGGATACACCTGCACGTGGAGCTTATTTGTAACTCTACTTTGAACGGTTGGAATTCTCTGACACGGTTGGGGCGCGAAGAACAGCCTGATCAGGTCCCCGGTACGAGCGGGAGTCTACTGCGTTACCCTCCCAGCGCAAGGCCCTCGTACCCTGCCTTGCGCTTCCACCGGGTGCTTGTGTTAGTTCCCTGCATGGTGGAGTGTTCCCGTCATTTGACAGCTGCGGCGGATGCCAAAATGGCGTTTTCCCGACGTCCCCTTGGGAATCCTTGGGAATCCTTGGGAATCCTTGGGATCTCGCTTGCCCTTCTTCTCTCCACTTTTCCTTCTCGAAAGAGTTCAGAGTTGAAACGGCCGAGCACCGGTTGGTGGCCTCTCCTCTTTGACTCTCAAGTCCTCTCCTCTCCTCCTCACTGCTCACCCACTGCACCCACTGCTCACAAGCACCAATCCTTGACTCCTCACACCTCGCTGCTCAGGCAGATGCTCTTGTGGCCCCCGAATACTCGCGTGGGCTCAACCCAACTTACCAACCACCCACACCCCCCTCTCCACGATCGAAGTTTCGATAATCCTTCTCAATGCTGCCCTGCTGGCGCTATTACCAAGGGTCACGGAACATCAAACTCATCATCGTCTGCGCCTATTCGTACCTCACCAGCGGGGTTCGATGAAGCGGGCCACATCTCCAGCTTCGACTCTTTATCCACGCGTCCTTGACAAGCGAGCAGAGAAAAGGCACACACGTCCGGCGGTCACTGTCGATTCCGGCATTACAATCAACAGCGTTATGCGTATCCGTATGTGCCGTGCAATGAGACGACACGACGAGTCTTTGACAGGCAAACAAAGTACGATGTACTCGTAGGCTGTCCAGTCATCTGTACTTACGCCGTACGGATACAGAATCGACGTAGAGCCCACACGGACGGACCACCATATTCGTCTCATCCTCCTCCGCCCGCTCCTCATCATCGTATCGTCGCGATCTATTTTCGGCCTGAACCCCGTCCATTTTATATCACTGGATGTTGCGATCCCGACCTGAGATCTCAATGTACGTCAGACCAGGAGGGATGCCCCGTTTCACTCGAGGAATCCGAGCTGCCGCGACAATTGCACCCACGCCATTAAGGTAACAAGAGCCTATTGCGACTCGACATCGCTTCAAGCCTGGCGTCACAACGGACGTATGGTCTGCCGTCTGCATCTGCGGGTAGTGAAGGCCGGAGAAGGGGGCGTGTTCGAAGAGCGAGCAGCAAAGCACCCCCAACACATCCACGCCACACCCTAGTCTATCGCTTCTCTGATCTCCTTACCGCATCTTCACTTCATCTGCAGGATTCATGCCGCTTGCTTCCTGCCAAGTTACCTTTGCCCTGGTCTTGCCGCGTACCTACGACCAACCAAGATGGGATCGACGATGCACATCCATCCAGGCAACCCTCCCTGCAATCCTCTTTGCAACCCGCCGTGGGCACGACGTCGCCCAATCCAGCAAGCACATCTCCTTTCGGCAGCCTTACTCGACCAGTGGCTCTCTTTCTGTCGCGCGATGTGCCTACACCCCCTTTCTCCCCTCTGCATCAGCCGTCGTCGCCGCCACCGTTGGTCATCTCGTCTGCGACAAGCGGAACCAAACCCGTCTGGCACCTGGGGACGATGCCCGCGGCCACTTCGGTGAGCGTTGCGTCCGCTGCCCACCCGTTGAGGAGATCGCCTGCTGACACCTCGGCGTCTCTCGCGGGATCTGGCGCGTTTCTCACGATCTCATGCACGCTTACCACCACTCGATATAAAACACCAGCCCTGGTCCACGTCACTCCCTGGCAGGCTACACTGACACGCTACTCGATTGACTTTCCGCTCGATACAGGCACTACATTCCAACAGTATCTGTTCGGGGCAACTTCCTCTTTAGGAAGCCATCTCCTGAACAAGAGCAAATCACAACTACCATCATCTTCCGCCTCTCTCCGCTTTATTGGGCCATGTGCCAGATCCGGCCATCGCTATCAAAACATCACATCTCAATTCTTTGACTGGGTCGTTTCCGCTGTTTCGACATGGGTTTTGATGTGGGATCTTGGTGTACTCCTCAGGTACCTAAAAAGTCGTGGTCCCAGTACCCGTCTGGTTCCCCATGGCGCGGGTTCGTCGATTTCCTTCGGCTTTTTATTCACGCCGGAATGCGGAGGAGTTCTTATGAAAACCACATTGTTGGCGACATTGATCACGGTATTACGAGTATCAAAGACTCTTGGAGAGAATTGTCTTCGGGCTGGTGGTCGGAGATTCGACAGCAGCAGCTCGGCAACGGCTAAACACCCTAGGACCTCATCTCGACTCGACCCAGTTGCGTTGCTGCCGCCGGGTCTATCAGATCATGCTCATGTTTGTTTCCTAGCTTCATATGCAGATCCCCATTCTCGAGTCCCGGCGCAGATAACTGGCTGCTCAACTCACGAGCCAGTGCTGCCTCACCGACCTTGGGTCGATATGCCGGGCCGCTGTTCAAAGTCACATTGCAGTTGACACATGCAGCCACCCACGATACAGACGGAGTAATGGCCGTCGATGTACCGCTATCCTCATCCAACTCGCCAGCTGTCGTCAACCTCTCTGTCTGTGACTCTCGCTCTGCAGACCTGCGAGCACAGTATGTGATGAGTTATGGCCAAACCGCGCTCTCGAAAGTGCGGCCGCACTTTGCAGTCCAGTCCAGCCAACCCAGATTTCTTGGGAATGGAAAAACAGGTATGCATTGCTGCTTAGCGCTGCTCAGGGATGTGTCAGGCACGGTGGCAGTGGCACGTCCCGAGTCTGAGGCGATAGCAGCCAGGAAGCTCACGCTTACCATGTGGCTTCGGCTCATGGGCCAGACAACATAACTAACCCCCCCCCCCCCCCCCAACCACAATTCTTCGAAGCGAGGCCACCAGTGCTGCCCCCGTCTGTGGTAGGATCTGAATGACCCGACCCTTCCATCGAACCCTCACTTCATCATTTCATCAATATGCCGCCGCCTTCGATGCGTTGATACCTGGGTAGGGTGGCATTTCACCACCACTCGATCGTTCGTTCACACCAGCAGAATACGTCCACACTGGTCAGTTGATGATCTGCCGTCCCTGCAATCGGCGACTGCCCATGCAACCATAAGCCGTATGGTTACGTTGAAGCCCAAAGATCCTGGCGCGAACATCGTTGCCTGTATGCCGGCACCATGCAACGAGCGAACGCGCCTCGCAGGATGGCCGATGGCCTTGGGATCAACTCAGGTTGGCCGATGGGAAGTTGGAACAAAACGATACCTAGCACGACAGCCGCTTCCAATCAACACACTGGGTGAAAGGGCGGAACTGCCATTTAGTCCTCGTGTTTCTATGAGTGGCTGAGCCTCAGCGAATCAGTGATGCTGGAAGGAAATTCTTCATCGCAGCCGCCGCCCCAAACCCAAGCTCGCCAGTGCGCAACGCCGCATACTTGGGCCAACGTAGATGCCTCGAGTATCTTAAGCAAGAAGCAGCGCCATCGGGATGAAGCGCAGACAAGATGCGATGCACCCGGCCCTCGTCAGCGGTTCCCTGGGATCTGGCTCTGACATGCCAATTATGCTTGGCTCATGGTGCGATCGTCTGATCTGGAGATCGGTCTGCCACGCAATCCACACACATACGCGCGCACCATCATCTCGCATTTTCGTCTGGCAAATAACATGTCACGAACAATACCACTCACCCTCCATCCATGTCGGATCGAAGGGGGCTAAAGGAATGTGGAGCCTGACCGGTGAGAGTGACTGCATCGGCACTAATATCTTGACCCCCCAGCTCTCGGGCGACGGTAGCCAAACGCAGGATGCGGCGGCTCTCGTCGCGACGAAATGGTCCGACTCCTGGGGCATAACTATGGTATATCGGCATATCGACTCCAGTCATCAGCATGCTCAGGTGCATCTCCAGCGACCAGCGTCTCGTCGGCAGTGTCAGAAGTTGGAAAAGAAATTGTCTAGCGCCCGAAGAGGTCATCAACCCCGCTTCCCGGCCATGTGGTTAACACACTCAGGGCCCTCCCGGTAAGGAGATTAGAGTGGTTGGCGAGACAGGCAGCCCCATGCTCTTCCCAGGTCTCGGCAACGAGATCAGGCCAGAAAGAGCCCGTAGCCGATTGCTCGCCCGTAGTCGATTGCTCGCCCGTTGAAACAACCCCACGCCGCAAGCGAACGGAAATCTGGTACAGAAACGGCGCTATGCCCGGCCGTTGAGGCGACGTCGACTTGCGCGCGACTTCAAGACTGCGGACGTACGCACGGCCGGATCTCTGGCAAGAGACTTCCAACAAGAAACGGCCGTTCTTTCACAGTGCGGGGAGTCATACACAACTCTCGAGAAGAGATCAAACCGTACCCAGCCTTTCGGCCGACGGACGATAACAGGCATTGGACTGGACCGTCCGCACCCTGAATCTTACGACCGCTTTTGCCTCGCTCGCAGTGTTGGAGAGCATTTCCCATTCGTGGAAAACAACGTCGATTTGAGTGGTTTCACCATCTTACCTGCTTGATAGGATGACATCCTTTCGTCACTCGATTTACCATGTTCAGCACCAACCGAGTGGCAATGACAACATGCAAGCTCCCCTTGAGCCTGTGTGCCTTGTGCCGAACGAAATGGTGTTCACAGCTCTCGATCCTGGAGCAAAGGGGTGGACACGTTTGAGCCTACTGTGTATGCTTCGTACTCACAAGTCGATGAAGGAGTCTCGGTTCTACGGCAGTATTTCTTGGACCGTCTCTTGGGTTGACGACGACGTGTGACGTTGGCGACATGCTTCGTTTTTTCAGTCCCCGGCTCTCTCGAAAGCGCCACACTTTCATAATTCAACCCGCTGGCCGCTCCAACAGCGTATTAGCCATCAAACCCCGAACCTCGTTTCTTCTCCCCCGGCGATTGATCGGGAGGACTAGCATTATGTCTGGGGTATCTCGTCATACGTCGCACAACATTGCCGGAGAGTGCTTTGCCCGTCGCACTTCAATGGTTGGCGTCTCTCGGGGTCAGACCATGGCCATGATCCTCCTTGTTTTCTTCCTGGTCCCTTTCTTATTACGAACCAACGGCCAATGCTACAACGAATGAATCAGACATGACTGTTGCACCAATCGCGAACGCCGTTCAGCTTACCGCGCGCCCGCTCCAAGTTCTCGCGGCCGTTCTACCCTGCGCTTCATGCCAGGCTGAGAAATCTCCCTGAGTCCGTGATGGAAGTTGTAAGCCTCAGGATCACTCATGTCTAGCATCAGCACGTGTCTATCGGTATAACGACCCTTCAGTTGAGTCACAGGGCAGAGTATAGGTCACCTGTCACGACGGGTACCGACTCCATGGGTACAGCGGTTGTGTTAATATTCCGACTACCAGTTTCTTCGACTGATCAGAAAGAAAAAGTGCCTAGCACCAGACCAGTTTAACAGTGTGTTTAGCTCCCGCTGTTCAGCCTTACGACGTTGGGGCCGTCGGCAAACCTAAACGTCTTAATCTGGATGCCCGTTTGCTTGCTTTTTCTTCTGGAGCTCGGCTGTCTAGATCGACGGAGGTGCGCCCTCGTATGATCACGGGAACTGTTGACTTTCATTGGGAGATTTACGGTGCACCCAGGCGACAAGCTGTGTCTATTCGATAATTCGCGGGCGCAGGATCAAGGACGTCGTATACGGGAAACGTTGCAAACAATCAATCTTGTTATCGCTTCTCGAAATCCATTCCATTGTCTCATTGAGATCTCGCTGACGCTCACCAGATGCCATTTTCGCTGTCTATTCCCGTCGCCACCGGGGAACGAATAGCGTTCCAGCCGAGCACTATTGTTTGAGATCGAAGGCACGATACGAGGGGAGATCGAGTAGAATCATACAGGGCATTTCCGGATGTGGCCTTCTCTGCAGGAGATTCCTTCTTGTCCCTGCTGGCGGCCCTGTATGGGTGGATTGAGACATCCGCGGGTGTTCAGGTGCTGCTGCCAATGACCTGTCAGGACACGTCTCCTGCAAGGTCTCTTTTTCGTTGCTTTTTCTCTCAACCTGAATCACCTGGTCGCGGGCCAAACCACTCTGGTCACGAACCTTCCGCTTTTACATCATGGTCATGCCGTGTGGGAATGGCAGCGAGAAACGAATCAAGAGCCTTCGTTTTTCTGCAAAGTATGAACACCACGCGGGTTTGGGTGATTCCATGAGACACTATTGAATGTGTCTTCCACCAACATCAATCTCCCCCCCCCCCCCCCCCCCCACACGTTGAAGTCCTTTGCCATGGACTAAACTCTTTCTCTCTTTCTCGTTGGAGTCTCTTTCTTTCACTCGCACTCGCACACACAGAATACAATTACTATCCTCACCTCCGTCTCCCCTGTCACCATCTACGCCCTGCGGCATTTCGCATTTCAACATCCGGCTGTTAGTCAAGTCGGCGATATTTTGCACTATTCCACTTAGGGGCAGATTGGAATTGCTAATGAGCCAGGATCGCGGTCTCGAACACAATGGTCACGGCGGCCGTGCTCAGGCGCGTTCTTGATGATGGCGATCTTCTGCCGGGGTCACTGAGCTAGCCTTGCCTCGATTCTTCCCAAAGAGATGTTTCAACCGCTCGCCAGCGACGAAGTCAGTTGTATCCGAACGGAATACCTGGCCTGGCAACCGTTTTGTCGTCCCCGCCTTACCTTATTTCCCTCCGAGACCTTGACTCATTCATCGGGGTAGGGTCCATTCCCTTTCTATAGGAATATCACGGGTCCCCACTGGCGATGAAAGGCTCGGCGACTTAGTAAGTAATGAAGATTCACGGCAGTTGTTTATGACTTTGCGGTTTACTGCCCGACGGCTTCCGGCGGGTTGGCCCCAGCGCAAGGCGGATATCTCCGACGCAGAAGCTATTGACAGGCATGCTTCGACGGCGCCTTGTCTGATACGGTAGCATTTGATGGGGCTGTCAAGGCTCACTGTGACCTATCTCGTCCGCCTCATGCTCGTCAGGACTCAGTCACAGCTTCCGAGGTGCGGTGGCCGTGGGGGTTTTTCCCCCTGGCCCAGGGTTTGATGGGTGACATCGTCTCAGGCGGCACGACACTGAAGAAAGCCACGATGTGGCCTCGTATTGGGTATTGTCATCTCGTACCCGGAGTCTCGACCCGATAGTCGCTTGATCAATGACCACGTTGGGCATGGCCAACGAAGAAAAGATTTCGCGAAACAAGATTGATCGCCATACGAGCAACTACCGCGCCTCCGCCCTAGCCACGATTGATGCTATCGCCTCTCGCATGTGGCAATGAGCTGGGGGGGGGGGGGGGGGTTTCGTGGCCAAGAAAATTACCAAAAAAGGACTACTGGTTTGGCCTGGCTCGGACTGTTGAGGTCAAGATGTTTGTTCGATGCGGCAGCCACAGTGCTACGTTGTCAGAGGCTGCGACTCAGGGAGAAAGGGTCCATGGAGGGGGCTCCATAGATGTTTTGTTTGTCACGGCTCACCTGAAGCCGAGGCCGAAAGCCGGGACCCAGAGATCCGGATCCTGTTTCGTTTACGCGATGTGCAAAGCACTGGGTTCGTCGTCAACGACACATGTACTCCGGAGGTTGTGCGAGTGCGCGCTGCTCCGCAGTTTAGTTAACTTATCTTTTTCTCACTTCATCGGAAAGAGTCCCTGGGGCTGCATATGTCGGTGATGGCTTCCTGGGTGTTGGAAAGCTTTTCGAGACACTACCTACACTAATATTGTACACACTCACACGCCCCTCCGGATCCACTTCTTCACCGGTCGTCCGTCGTTGGCACGCTCCTGCGTCTCCTACCGGAGGAGGTTTCCTTCCGGGTGGCCCAATCGCAAGAGTTGCGGATCCCCGGGGCGGAGGAGGCGATTCTTGGGCCGCAGGAGCAGCGGCGGCGGCGACGGCGGCGGCGCGGATCTTGGCCCTTAGTGGGCAAGTTGACGAGCAGAAGGGGGAAGGGGGGGAGGGGGGGAGGGATGGCTGGGGGGGTATTAGTGTAGGGTCCCGCATCCGATCTTGCGCATCACTGCATCGATAGATGCGGATCCTCGCCGGCGCCTTTATGGGGGGGAGGGCGAGAGTTGAGGAGCGGAAAGGGTATTCGTAGAGAGTGGCCAAGGATCAGCTCTCTGGTCTGCAAGATGCTGCTGGTGTTGCTGCTCGTGCGGCCGTGAGTGCCGTGTTGGATGTCGTTGGATGTCGTTGTTGGGTAAGTACGTGACTACGTAGCCAGGCGGGTTTCCCTTTCGGTACCTCGATTGGATTGCGCATATCCTTTCACTGGTTTATCCAGAGATCGACACAGCTCTAATCTGGTCTGGTGGTTTTGTAAGATTGGCGGGATCCAGATTCCCAAGATGGGCACACATTCGTTTTTTTCTGTTCGTGTTTCGAAGTGAGAGACGGGGATGAGGTGTCACAAGTGGTTAGCCAAGCATATTGTTTTCCCCTGGTCCCCTTTTTTGGGGACAGCGCCGCACGAGTACATTTCCAGATCCGGAAGATGACTTCGATTTATTAGGACGACCCTCAAGTTCTCCAGATCGATGTTTCGAAATCTTGGCCCTCATCATCACACGTTCTTGAAGGGGCTGGGGGGTTGAGGGGGGGGGTTTCGATGGCATATGGGGGTGGTTCCTTGGGGTCCTTGGTCCCCCTTCCTTCCTTCCTTCCCCTGCTCTGTCTCTCGGATGGGCTATGGAAGGGGTTCATTCTTGCATCTACGTGTAAGGTATTCTTAGTTTTCTTTCTGAGGAGGGGTCTTGACTCTGGAGATGAAGTATGAGACACGGGTTGCTTGCCGTATTTGTGGGTTGTTTGCTTATTCTACGGGAAGAGAGGGACGTAGGTCATAGGCCTCATCCTTTATTTTTGCATGTTTATTCTTTTTTTCTTCTTTTTTCAATCCAGGGTTGAGAAAGGATTCTTTTACACAGTGATGTACCTTGGTTTACCAGGCAGTTGTTGCTTTTTCCTAACTCCGTAGACGGGTTGAATATGCGCCCGCCCCTGTGCCTCCTTAGTCAAGTCTGACAAGTCAAACTTCTTTTTGGGTCTGACAGGACGCAGCCAGTGGGGTTATTCCTACCCTGCCCGATGAACGGCAGAGGCAGGAGTGAGGAACACAACCCGACCTGA